GCTAAGCGTACAGTATTTGGATGTGTATTTGAACTTAGGTATTCGGGTATCCGTGCCAATTTTAGGTTATAAATTGGTGGAAAATCAGGATATTAGGATGACATTGGACTCCATGACTTTTGCCTGGGATTAAAAAGCTTATTTTTAAATCTTAATCCCTTATTCTTTTTTAGGATTCATTTGAGACATATAATTTTATTTACTGAGTTTGAGCGCAAAATCATCGCGGGGTGGTTTGGGTAGGTACGTTTTCAGAATCGGTTTTTTAAATGATTGGTTACGTTTAGAGAATCGATTTTTAGAAAATCTGCATTAAACTAATTAGATGTTTTGGAACATGTTTCTCAACTGAAATAATTCAGAATAAGTTATTTCTTTTTCATCACTATATTAAATTTCTTATCCTTTATGAATATAATCGCATATTTCTGCAACTTCTTCAAATGTCGTCTTTTCAATAAAAATTTCAGGAAATCTACAGAAGATGTTTGTGAACAATGAAACAGAACAGAAACCTATAACTGAAAAAGATTACTTATTTTTGATGAAAATAGTCAAATTTTATTATTACAATCTGTTCCTTTCAAACTAATTGGTTTACTGTAGAATTTTTACAACATTTTTCGTCGTCGTAATTGAATAATTTTCTAAATACCGATTCTCAAAATCATCCTTAAAAAATGAAAATTAAATGAGAATTTTGTAAATAGGATTTGCGCTCTTGCTGAACGAATATTCACCGTAAAAACTCATAGTTCTCAAATGATTCCTTAAAAAAATCTCCACAATACTACATTCTCAGTTTAACTACCATACATTGCCGGTCACTCCCTTTAACTCAAAGATATAACCGTTTTTGAGTTTAAACTCTTTAGTCTCTAACTCAAAATTATAACCATCCTTGAGTCAAAACCCCTCAGTCTCTAACTTAAAGATATAACCATCCTAAACCACTTAGTCTTTATCTTAAAGATATATCTATTCTTGAGCCTAAACTCCTTAGTCTTTATCTCAAAGATATATCCATCCTTGAGCCTAAACAACTTAGTCTTTATCTTAAAGATATAACCATCCTTGAGCCTAAACTCCTTAGTATTTATGTCAAAGATATATCCATCCTTGAGCCTAAACTCCTTAGTCTTTATCTCAAAGATATAACCATCCTTGAATCTAAACTCCTTAGTATTCATGTCAAAGATATATCCATCCTTGATCCTAAACTCCTTAGTATTTATGTCAAAGATATAACCATCCTTGAGTCTAAACTCCTTAGTATTTATGTCAAAGATATGTCCATCCTTGAGTCTAAACTCCTTAGTCTTTATCTCAAAGATATATCCATCCTTGATCCTAAACTCCTTAGTATTTATCCAAAAGATTTATCCATCCTTGAGCCTAAACTCCTTAGTCTTTATCTCAAAGATATATCCATCCTTGAGTCTAAACTCCTTAGTATTTATGTCAAAGATATAACCATCCTTGAGTCTAAACTCCTTAGTATTTATCTCAAAGATATATCCATCCTTGAGTCTAAACTCCTTAGTATTTATGTCAAAGATATATCCATCCTTGAGCCTAAACTCCTTAGTATTTATGTCAAAGATATAACCATCCTTGAATCTAAAACCAAGTTTTGTCTACATGATTTAAACTTAATTTTATCAGTATGTGTGTCAACATATCTCAAAGCTCGAGGCTTATTATATATTTTATGTATGATATGCATATTTAGATTAATTTTTCAGGAACTATCTGAATCTCACAGAGTAAAAAGCATTGTTTAATATATTTATATATATGCTTTGCATGTCTGGGTGTCTGTTTGTCTGCTTGTATCCAAGAAACGCCAACAAGGCTGCACCGATCTGGCCCACATTTTCTGTGGGACCTCACATGACCCAACGGAAGGTTTAAGGATGCTCAAAATTACAAAAATTTGTCTCCAAACGTTATTGATCTTTGTTAAATTTTGAAAATGTTCAAAAAATATTATGAAATTTGCGAGTTTTTTTTATATTGTACACAAAGAAGATGCTCACAAATAGAGCCAAAATTAAAAGTTGAAATAGAAGATGAGCGCGAAGCGCCTTAAAAGCCTGGAAGGATATATTTGTCTCTACAAGGAAGGTTTAAATGATGAGATCGGCGGCGTCTAACCCTGGAGATAAGATCGAAAATTTAATGAAAAATAAAATTGAATTGTTTAAAGCATTATCCAGATAGAACACGTTTAGTTGCAGCTTAACAACACGAAACTCAAGTAGGCTCAGTTAAACAAATATAGTCTGGTAACACCAAACAAATGCATAGAAAAAATGGCGGGGGGGGGGGAAGCAGATGGACTTCCCCCTGTATTTTTACCATGCCCGTCACATTTTTTATCTTATTCTTTTATTGAACATTAAATGTACTCCCCCCCCCCTGTGTAGGGAGGGTGTGCAGGGACGCCATGAGCCCCCCGAAATAGTCTCCAAGCCTCGTGATTCGCATATATGTATTTAAAATGAGGTAATGTATAAAAATGTTCAGAAAACATGTTTAATACTTTAATAGGTATGCAATGCTTTTGAATATTCAAGAAAACACTGCATAACTATGTAAGGAATAAATATGTTCTTTAAAAAATGTTATTTATTGCTACTGATCTTTTCTAACGCTCAGGAGTAGCGCCAGGTCATTTTAAATACTCATCTACGATTACGGAGACTTGGAGACCATTTAGCGGAACTCATGACGGCCCTGCACCCCCTCCTTCCCTTATTTAACATACTTATTTTCAAGCAATAGTTAACAATTTTTACCCTCTTTTGTTGTAAAAATACAATTGCTTAAATTATTCTTTATTTGTTATTATTATTATTATTATTGTCATTATTATTATTATTATCATTATCATTATTATTAGTAGCAGTAGTAGTAGTAGTATATTTGTTTCTGATTAATGAATGATTCTAATGATGATTTTTATACTTTTTTCCCTCTCTTATTCTAACTTAACAATAATCCGCTAATTCCTTCCAAAATGTCGTCTTCACCCATATATTAACATTTTTATCCACTAAATTACCTATTATTTATAATTTTAAATACACGTATTTTATTATATCATGTATCTTCATACTAAATATTTTGCTTTTTCTTTTCCAATACAGTAGTTCCCAAAATACATCTACTCAATCATCCCAACTACCAATTTACCATACCTTTTTATTTATTTATCCTAGTCCCGACTTCCTCTTTAGCTGATATCCACCGGTCCCCATCGGTCCCTGTCTAACCTATTCCAACTTCCTAATCCTCATCCCAATTCTTCCAATCCCAACATTGGTTGACACTCGTTTGGGATTCTTATCATTTGAGATTTTAATAGTTTGGGATTCCACAATCAGAAAGAATTGTTTTATATTATTATCGACTTTTCTACATGACAAATGACAATTAGGAAACAACAAATTATGATTTAATGATGTATTTCATGAACACTTTTTAAAAACGCTTTTGTATGCACCAGTTAAATCTAGTGCCTAGGGATTCTATCTGTTTCTTGCCTAGGTGGTTTTATATGTTTGGCTTGGTTGAGGGGTGGTTATATCCCAAAACAAAAAATTATCAATTTAACGATGTATCAATTTATCAATTTATCATTCAATTTAAATCTATGTATGTTTACTTTGTGAATTGTTATTTACTATTTTTACCCTGGCATCGAACCAAGATTTTACATATCAGTACATGCTAGACCAGAGTAAAAAGAAAAACAAAAATGTGATCAAATAAGAAATGAGCCCAGCCTCTCGTTAGTGTTTCCAACTATATGATTAAAGTTATGAACAATATTTGTCTTCTATCAAGTTCCGAGATAACATTGAGATGATAGAAAATGTGTAAAAGTGTTATAAACAAAAAAGATCATAATTCCAGCTACCAACCACAATACCATCAAATATCATTATTTTTTCCGTAAAATATTATTATTATTCAGTATTATTGTTAAGGACGGGAAACCTTATTGTGATCACTGCTACACTGACACTGTACTCCCAAAGGTTGGATTTTAACCTATTTATCAAGAGGAGGTATTTAGTCACGGTAAACTAGAGGTCCTGTAGGAGGCATTTAGTCACGGTAAACTAGAGGTCCTGTAGGAGATTTATTTATTCACGTTAAACTAGAGGTCCTGTAGGAGGTATATTTAGTCACGGTAAACTAGAGGTCCTGATAAGTATGTAAAGGGTGTCCCAATAAACTAGGAATTAAATGACGACTTCTATATATAGTCTTTGTGCCAAGCGGGATTATCTCGTAAATATAATTTTGTAGTATCACAGTTAAAACATTTCACGCCGAAAACTAGTAGTCAAAGGGATTTCCAAAATGTTGTCTACAATTTTTTAACCTTTACATTTTACGGAGATATTCGGAAATTTGTCCAGATCCCAGTTAATTTAACATCGGCAAAACTGTTCAAATGTTTAATATCTCCGTCAATTTTAAAGATAAAGAGGATAGACCAAATTTCGGAAAGCTCAATTAAACGTTCAATCTTTTTTAATGTATACTTTAGGTCATTTATCAATTATTGAAAACCATGGACAATATGCAAGTCGTCTCTCAATTTCAATTTATTGGGACACCCTGTAGGCGCCTATTTACGTATTCAGGATGCACTGTGTAGAGAATCCATTGTTTATCTAAATATTCAGTCCAAGGGAGGAAGTCAACACACTAAAAAAACATAAATTCAATTACCCCAAAACGTGTGTACTACATATCAAATCTAAGTATCTAACTTTTTTTTTTATCAGCTCAATGCCATTTTTAGAATCTTGAATGTCTGACCCCTACACTGTTTAAGAGTACAGACCGCACCGGGCCCTGACACTGCTCAGCTGCATCTTGAGATTCTAAAAGTAAAGATATGAAGATGTGACGCTCTGTACACAGTGTCTCATCCCCCGCCCCAGGCCTGCCTGTGTTGCCTATATATAGTTAGTGAGGATCCTTCACACCTTCAGTGGTCAGTTATCCTTTGACAAGATGGTTGGTAAGCTGTGCATCCTTCTCTCCCTCTCCATGTGTATCCTAGGACAGGATGAACCAACCAACAACCTTCCTGCAGGATCAGAGGATATTCTCTCCAATCCGTACTCAGACGGATTCTCTTGTGAGGGTCAGGCCTATGGATACTATGCTGATGTTGAAAACAACTGTGAAGTTTTCCACATCTGCCTTCCTATTGAGAACAACGAGGGGGAGGTGATTGAATACGCCAAGTGGAGCTTCGTGTGCGGGAACCAGACCGTCTTCGACCAGCAAACCTTGACCTGTAACCACAGGGACGATGCATTCCCTTGTGAAGAGTCTTCATCCCTGTTTGGAGCTGTTGAGTTTGGTTTGGTGGAATCAGAGAAGTAGATTAGAGATTCCCAAACCAAACCCGAGCTTTCCCCAAGTGCCATGCTTGCCAATATGGCCGACCAAACTGAACGAGTTTTTACACCGTCGGAGACAACTGTTAATATCGCTGTGATACAAATTGTTTATTATACAAAATTTATGAGAACATTTGTTTTCGGTGCTATTTCAAAATTAAATGGACCAACGGATGGTTTGGAGTTTATTTATTTATTTATTTATCTATTTATATGTTAAAATGTATCATGTCTAGTAATAAACTTTGTATGTGAATTAAATATTTTTTCTTTTTCTTGAGAAGTTTATCATTCGACATATGTTGATGGTTCCCTACAACGTTTCACCGTTGTTTCTTTTTTTAAAAATCAAATGGTAAACCATTGAGAGACCAAATATTAGGGTAAATGCTAAAATTATCCTTCACATTAAATAGTTTTTACCCAGTAGGTATTTAAGTTTCTTTCTTTGTGGGTAACCCTGTATTTTAAAGAAAGCAAAAGCAGATTGTCAGCATATACATTATACATATAGTTTTCACAGGTCGTCATTTAAGTATCATATACGGATTGGATTCACAGTGGTACCCAATAAAAGGTTTTGCCTGATTAAGTATGAGACAAGTTTATATAATATCATTGTTTTTGTTTTTGAAAACAGTTTTTTTTTTCATTTGTGGTTTCTCTGCAAGAGAGACTTTAGAGAATTCAGAAACGATGGAATAATGATCAGAATTCAACTCTTTTCACGCCAATAATACGACGCAATCTTTCGGATATTATTGATCATACTTAGGTTTAAAGAATACCGTACTTTTGTCGTCATTTAGGTTACGAGGTTTTACCCTTTAACATGTGATTGATAATGTGGAAGATAACGTCGGTTTTTCTGGCTTATAATGATAAAGTGTTTAAGTCTGATCATTTCTTTACTATTTTTGAAGCAAGAAATGTGTAAGTAACTTTTACAGAGAAACCACAAGTTTTCAAAACAAAAAAATCATACTTAAACAAGCAAAGCTTTCAAGGGTAGCTTGGTGTGAATCGGATATGGCAAGAGAGGGTCATACAAATCCTTAGCAGCAACTTTTATCCGACAAAGTTTTTTATTAAGTGCTAGCTTGGGTACCCAGCTTTGCCTGGAATTTAAGTTTTCCCGCGATTCTCCAGTCAAAATATGAGGCAAATCGGGCAAGGGGTTCCTGAGTTATGATGGGACATACAAACAATCAGACTGATAGAAAATCAGAGATTACTACTTTATATTTATAAATTTTCTATCAAATCTAATAATGGGTCAATCTATCAATATTTTTAATCTTGAATACACATTTATGAAATCATATTTTGCGCTGTGTCGGCGTCGCTAGTTAATTATAAAAACTTCTTCTAATAGGCTCCGGGGTAATTCCGAATTATGAATATTCAACATGTTTAGAACCGGAAGTATAGGGGTTAGGGGCGGGCAGGCAGACAGGAGGACCTAGAAGGTTGGATTAATTCAATTTTGGAAATAGGGACGAANAACTAGAGGAAGTGAGAGGGGAGAAGAGGAAGTTAGATGCGGAAGAGAGGAAGTGAGATGGAGAGTAAAGGAAGTTTGAGAGAAAGATAAGTGGAAGGGAGAGAATGAAGGAAGTGAAAGAAGGGGGGTGTGGAAGGGTGTAAAGGGAAAGTTGAAAGGAAGGAAAGGAGGGATAAGGGGGATGGAAAGGGGAAGTTTAAAGCAAGGAAAGGAAGGGAGGGATAGGGGGATGGATAGGGGAAGTTTAAAACTAGGAAAGGAAGGGAGGGATAAGGGGATGGAAAGGGAAAGTTTAAAACAAGGAAAGGAAGGGAGGGATAAGGGGATGGAAAGGGGAAGTTTAAAACAAAGAAAGGAAGGGAGGGATAAGGGGATGGAAAGGGGAAGTTTAAAATAAGGAAAGGATGGGATCGGAATGAAGGGAGGAAGGTGGGGCAGTTTAAAGCAAGGAAAGGAAGGGAGGGATGAAAGGGGGAAGGTGGGGAAGTTGACAGGATGAAAGGGTAAATTAAAACCACTATTATTTCTTTTCACTAGATAACAATATAATTATATCTTATTCAACATCTCTGTATAAGGACCTCTAAACAATACAACTTAAAATTAAGAATATTAATTTAGCAAATTTTGAATTTAAAATTCAAATATAAAAATTTGAATAATTAAATATAAACATTAAAAACTCAATATGAAAATTTGAATATAAGAATCTGAATAAGAATAATATATATATATATATATATAAATATAATGATTACTGAATTAAAGAAATATTTTTAATGAATTCAAAGGAAAACTTTAAAAGTTATTTATTTTTACAGCCAGTTTAACTATTTAGATCAACTTTCAAAGTTCTCACCCACCAGTTGAGAGGGGGCTGGGGACTAAAATAAATTTAAACATATAGGTGTACCCTAAAGGATTTGATCTTTTTATTTATTTGCTACATTTAGTCTTCTCTTTACAGTGATAACCAGCACACTCTGAAATAGGAAGACGACTTATATAGATTTAAATAGTCCAATGAGCATAAGACAGAGCAATTGTGCAGTGAAAACAGACCCATTTAGTGATTTAATAAGTGTCTAGCTAGTAAACACCAAATACTCTTCAGTACTGCTCAGGGGGATGATAGTTTCCTACCTGTGTGCCAGTTAGCTGTACTGTACACTTACAACTGTCTACAATTAGTGAAGGATTAGCGTACATTATTACTCTATACACTATAACCTCGTTGGTACTGCTATTTCCTATTTCACGTTAAAATTTAGAATTCTTGAAACAAAAACTAAAAATTTTCCTAGCATTTCCAAAATTTGGTCTGCCTTTCTTCTGGTGGCAATATTACCTGAGATACTAAGAATTTCGTTCAGATTTAAATTTCAAAAACCAAAATTGTCGAAATGTGAACGAAATTATTCATATCCTCCGGTAATGTTGAAAGCACATAAAAGGCAGACCACATTTGGGAAATGCCAAGACCAGAGGTAATTTTGTGATTATAAACTCTAGAATTGTAATTTTCAGATTAAGGTTTACGAGTAAATTAGAACAAAGATTAAAGACGACCTTCAAGTCTTCTTGTTACTGTCATGTTTCGTGGGACACACTGTGTATGCAGTGTGGACTGTTAGGAAAAGAAAGAGAATGATCCTGACATTTAAGAATTTATCGTTTCTAAGGTCAAACCATTTACCCTCATTAGCCAAGCTGGGGTGCCTTAAACATACACATCATGCATATGGGCCTTGTCTGTATTTTGTATGGGGTTGTGTCTACATACAGTGGAACTCATAAAACTTTGGATTGGAAAGACGACATTTTAACAATTTAGTTTAAAAATGATACACTCTACAGCTGTGTTTTATGTTCATTTGAATATTTACAATCAGAACTTTAACTCAATTCAGTCGTCTTCCTATTTCACAGTTCTTTAGGTATCACTGCAAAGATTTATGTTATTGTAAAGCGGTATATAAGGGGGGGGGGAGGGATACTGTCAACCTTTCGGAAATGTTTGTGAAAGGTCGTTAAAGAGAAGGACACCGTGGAAAATGTGTGTTTGTGTCCAATAAACGTTATAGAAACAGTGCTGAATCGATCAAACCCAACATTTTTGAGGTAACTCACATGATCCCAGGGAAGGTTTATGCTGGTCAAAGTTAAACATTTTTTCTATAACTTTTGAAAATACACTAATTTGAAAAGGAAAATCCTCGAATATTTGGGAAAGTTTTAAAATGGCGTTTTACTGAGTTCTAATCTACAATTGTCAACAGGTTAAGGAGTGCAGCGAAGCGGCCTCTATAAGCCTAGTATTGTAAATTGGAATATAAAAATTACATATTTCTACAATTTGCAATAAAATCCCGGATTTTCATCTCAAATAAAACTAAGGGATAATGCCCATGCTTTTATGTTAAAAAATTCATTAAACACTTTTTTTTGGAAAATTGATATTTTTGTTTTCTTAAATCTATTGATGAAAAAATAGAAATTTAATTATTCAAAGAGTTTCACAGGTCGTGGTAACCATGTACATGTACACTGAAATAGGGAAATCGTTTCGCGAAAAATTGGCATTTTTCGCAAAAAAATTTGTTTAGCCAAAAGTTCGCTATTTCGCATTCCGTTCATTATTTCGTTCGTTCCGTTTTTAGGGAAATCTCGCATATTTGGTTTTGCGGAAATTGTTGCATATTTTGTTCTGAAGAAATTCTGCATCGTTTTCGCGAAAAAACGCGAAATTGCGTGAAAAAATGTTCGCGAAAGTTTTTTGCTTCGTTCACTGGAAACCCTTTGTACATTGCAGCTTTTGATTCTAATGGTTGACCTTTCGACCTCTTTCCTCCCTTCCTCTGGTTTCTAGTTCCTCCTTGAAATCAGTCGACTCTATAAAAAATTTCATATCTTTTCGTTATTATTTAACTTTGGCTTTTAATTAGGGAGGGGGGGGGGATCACATTACTATTATTAGCAATTTACAACTCTTAAAAGCTCAACATCTTTGAAATTGATAAGTCCCTAAAAATGGCCCGATTAACCTTTACTAATTTTCGAAAGTAGAACATTTATCCCTGCCCCCCCCCCCTCCATCTCGCTTCAACAACAACTCCTTTCCCACCCACCCAACCTCACCATCAGTCCCCCCCCTCACTACCTTCACCTATGGCTGTATGTATGTATGCAATGCAAGTAAATAGCATACTAATGTCCATGATTTTTATGTTAACACCACGAGCCAAAGATCTTAACTTTCAGGGGAGGGGGGGGGGGGGGCAACAATTTATATTTTTACTGCATATCAATGTCTAAACTTTGCTTGTCTGTTTTTTTTTGTTTTTAACCGATAAACGTCAAAACGGCTGAACCGATCGGGGCCACTTTTTTTTTAAAGAACCTCAGGGTAGGTTTTTGGATGCTCAAAATTACAAAACAATGTGTGCAAGCAATTTTAATTTTCTTAAAATTTTGTAAATCCTCGAACAAAAAATGTTATTGCTGTTTTATCCAGGAAAGCGTTGGTAGTAAAGGGGTTCAATTTCGATCGTTTTTTTTTCATTTTTGCTTAATTGGATGTAAAATCCGCAATATTGAATAAGAAAATCGAGAAAATCTCCGAATTTCTCACTTTCTGTCTGACATTTGATAATTCCCAAAGCAACAATGGCTACACACCCAGAAAAAATATTACATTCTCTCTTAAACAGGGCAAAATTACGGCAAGTTTAATGAGTTTATTGGACACAACC